CGTACTTCGGCACGTGCTTCGACATCGGATCCTTGAGGTCGCGATCAAGAGAGATCCTGGGCCTCTCGATCTTGCACAAGACGCGGGTCGCCAGGGCAACGTTCTTCTTGGCATGTTTGGCTTTCTCTTGCTCGAGCTTCCTCTGTTTCGCCTGCAGGCCCTTGTCATTCTCAGACTTCGAGTCCGAATCCGAATCCGAGGTCGAGGACGCTGCGCGCTTCTTGGACTTCTTGTCCTTCTTGTCGCGCTTGTCCTTCTTATCGGCCTTCTTGGATTTCTTGGACTGCTTCTTGGATTTCTTCTGTTTCTTCGACTTATTCCCCTTCTTGCTGCTCGTCTTGCTCGAGCCGCTATCCGAATCATCTGATTCGCTCTTGCCTGGAGCTGGCTGCGTCGGCTGCGTCGGAGGCGGCGCCTTCGCCTTCGCTTTCAGCTCCTGCACCTCGGCGCGGGCGAGCTGCTCGATCGTTTTCGAATAGCCACCCCTGATGTCCACGCGGTAGCAAGTTCCGAGGATCTTGTGTTCCTCGGTGTCCTTGCACTCCTTCTCGATGCGTGTAACATCGAACCCACGCTGGGCGTAAACTGACAACGGCAGATACTCCCCGCCCACTTGGGCAACCTCCTGCTCGATCCGAGTCGTCGCGAGAGTCTGGACGAACAGCTCCTCGAGCTGATCCTTACCAGCCTTCTCCTTTGCATCTTGCCAGAACTTCGCTTGCACTGAGGAGTCAAGCCTCCTGAAGCTGGCAGGTGGCCACGATCCGAACAAGCGGGACAACTGCGTTCCGCGCGCGTTGCACTTTTCGCACTTCCACGAGCCCTGGCCTTTCCCAATCAGTGGTGCCCTCAAGACATCGACCTCTTGCTTGCACCTGTAGCACGTTGGGTTCGACGGCTCGTGCTTGACCTCAGGACCTTGCCAGACGAAGACCTCGCCTGGAGTGGGAGTCGGCTTGAGCACCGGGGGAGAAGCCTTGTCTGCCACCTCCTGAGTCGGAGTCGGCGAGCAGGCGGCGTCTTCGACGGCAAGCGGTTCGGACGAGGCAGCGGCCCCCGACGAGGCAACATCGTCGCCTTCGGGCGCATCCTCGAAGTCTCCCAAGTCGGCCACCTCAGGAGCTGCGAGCGCCAGCGTCGTCGCCGTCGGGCTATCGGCAGCCTCCGAGCCAGAGACAACCGACCCAGGCGACTTGAACTTTGTCCACCAAGCAACTGTTGCGTCATTCGCCATCTCGACGGTGGCCATCTTGCTCTTCGACTTGGCCTTGGCTTTGGCCTTGCCCTTGGCCTTAGCCTTCGGCACGGGCGCCGCGGCAGGCGGTGGCATCAAGGCCAACTGCAGCGACATCGGAACCGCGAGAGGCGAGATGGGACACGGGGGCGCAGAAGCAAGGAGCCCGCGCGCGTTGCCCTGCAAGCACAACGGCTGCGGATGGAGGAGAGGAGGATGCGGTACGTGGAGAGAAAAAAACAACTGGTCCAGAACACGATCTGTGCAAATGTTTTCCCCTGGAGGTACGCGAAGGCGCGGAGAGAAGAGAAGAACGGATCCTATCGAGTCGCGCTTCGTTATAGCAGAACGGTTTCAATCGAGACGAGGGAGGGGTAAGATAAACGGAGTACCACGCTCAGTGTGCCAGAGGAAAAGGAGGATTTGTTTCGATTTCATTCGCACGCTCGGTTTGAGCTTCAGGGCGGGCGAAGGTGGATGTCCAAGATGGCGGGCGGCAAAATATCTGAAACCGCGGAGGAGGGCGATGACGGCCGATGACATCCGAAAAGCCCGATAACATACCGATAACATCCGATAACATCCGATAACAACCGATAACATACCGATAACAGTTATCGGATGTCGCGCTAACATGCGATAACATCCGATAACGATCACCGATAACACCCGATAACAACGTTATCGGATGCAATTTCGGTTCCGATAACCGTTATCGGACGTTATCGGACGTTATCGGATGTTATTTTGATGTTATCGGATGTGGTTTCGTTGCCGATAACATAGCGTTATCGGCGTTATCGGTTGTTATCGGTCGATCCGATAACATCGTTATCGAAACGTTATCGGTCGTTATCGGTTGTTATCGGTCACATCGTTGAGTAGCGAATGATCCGCTGTATGGCGGTCGACCCGCCGATGCCCTTCCCTTGGCGGATGATCCGCCGATCAGCGAGTGAACCGCTCGTGACAATGATCCAAGATGATGAGCGCAGCGACGAGGAAGGTGTGCTGGTGTTCCCAGCAAAGATTCGGCGTCCGAGCCCGCGAATGAGCACCCGACGTGGGCGTGCTAATCGAGGCGCCGACGCGCGTGGCCAAAACCTGAGCTCCGCCAGCAGCCTAGCGCAGGGGGAGCACGCGCGTCGGCTGGACGTACGACTCGATCACCTCGACGCACTGCTGGATGCACGTGACCTCCTCGTTGAACGCCCGAGCCGCTTTGGCGCAGAGGTTGGCCGCGCTCTCCGCCGAGACCTTGGCACGCTTCAGCGAGTCGACGCAGGCCCTCACCTGCATCTCCGAGAGCGTGGTGCGACCCGTGCCAGCACCCGTCGGCGGCGCGCTGATGGCGGGCTCCGCGGTGGGCTGCCACGGCAAGCTCTTGCGCTGCTTCTTCTGCCACCTGTCCTGCTCCTCGGCCCACTTCTTCTTGTCGACCTCCCAGGACTCGATCAAGTTGAAGTCGACGGCCGATTCAGCCTCGGAGCGCTCGAGCTCGTGGTAGGGCGACGTCACCAAGTGATGGATGATCGACTCCACGGCATCCTCGTACGAGTGGCACGACTTGATGGTCGCCGAGCGCTTGCTGCACTGCGAGCCAACGGGGCACTTCCCACCCCACATGATCCACGTCGGGCTTCCGTCGTCAGCGTGCGCGGCAGCAGGCTGGACATCAGCGGAGGAGGACGCAGCGTCCGACATGGATGCGGAAGCTGGCGGCGACGGGCGGCCCACGTGCGCTTCGCGTTCGAGCCAAAACGCATATACAGAAAAAACGGTGCGAGAGCATGTGCGTGGCGAACACACAGGCGGGTAAACCGCCATGGCGGGTGAGCCGCCGAGGAAGCACACGCGTGACGCGCGCGCAGCGACACTCGTGCACACACAGGCGGATAAACCGCCATGGCGGATGAGCCGCCGAGGAAGTACGCGTATTTTTTCCAAGAACAATAGCGCGCGTCACAGGAAGGGCAACGGCCCGCGCCCGCTGGCGTCCTGCGAATTGGTCGCCCGCCGCTTAGGCCTGCGATGCGGCGACGGCGTCCGAGGCGCGGGGCGCTTGGACGTGGGCTGGAGGACGTTCTTGACCACGTGCGCGTCCTTGCCCTTGTCCGCGCCCTTGTGGCCGCCCTTGCTCTTGACGGCCGTGCCCTTGCGAACGCCCTTGTCGGAGCCCTTGTCCGTGTCCTCGTCGGAGCCCTTGCCGTGCTTGCCAGCAGTGCCCTTGCTGGAGACCGCCTCCTTGCTCTTGCCCTTGGCCGCGGGCCGCGCGATCGGCACGGGCGCGACCAGCTTGGGCGTCGGGCGCGCCTTGCTGGTCGGAGGGTCGACCGTCGGCAGCACCATCCTCGGCTGGTGGGCCTTCGGTGGGGCGGCCATCATGCGCGCGACCGCCTTGGACTTGCTCGCGCGAGCGGCCTCGTCCTCCTGGAAGGCCTGGGTGCCTCGCTCCATGCCGAACTTCGCCACGAAGCTGTCTTGCCGCAAGCTGCGGCGTCGGTCCTCGTCCTCGAGGAAAGCCTCCGTGCCTCGCTCCTTGCCGAACTTCGCCTGGAACTCGGCAAGCCGCACGCTGCGGCCGCCGCGGGAGCCCCACCGACCGCTGTTCTGCCTCCAGGCTTGGCCCCCCCACTCCGTGGGCCCTCCCTGCAATGGGCCAGGGGGACCCCGCTGCCTGAATTTCTTGTGGCACTGGAACTCCAAGATCAGCGTCTTCTCGACGTTGATGACGGCGGGGTCGTTCCAGTCCACGGAGAGCGGACTCACCACCATGAGCAAGGCGATCCGCGCGAACTCTGGATCCCGCAGCATGAACTGCTGGACGCGTTCCGCCGCGCCGTCGGGCATGGGCGCGTCGCCCGCGGAGTTCGCGTCGCCTTCACGCAGGACGTTGTCGACCGAGCGCTCCAGAGCGTCGACGTCGACGACCTGCTCTCGAGGGCGAACGGGGCGATCGACCTCCACCTCAAGAGTCGCCGACGCAGCAGAGCTCGAAGCAGCAGCTGCAGGCTCCTCCAGCGGGGTGTCGCGGACGTCCGCAGCCTCCACGTGGCCAGAGTCCTCGAGCACCTTCCTGAGGCAGCCGATCACGTGCGACCTCTCGGCGTCCATCTGATCGAACGCACCGTCGGCCTCTTCGAAGAAGCTCTGGAGGTCCTCGAAGGCGGACCTCTTCGGCGCCGCCATGGCGCCCTGCGCGCCGAGCCCGCCGCGCGCGCCCGCGCGCGCCCCTGCGAGCGCAAACGGCTACGGCATCGAACGCGCATGAACCTCCATTTTTGCCCGTTCTGGTCCAGAACCGCTACCGTTCTGGCCTGGAACCGCCACCGTTCTGCCCCTGTGGCTTCGATTCAGAGCGGGGGCGGTTCTGGACCAGAGCGGCGGTTCCCTTTTCACTGGCAAACTTCTGCTCGGTCTCATCCCTTCCTAGTCATGCCATCCCTCCATATTCCTGCTCAGACCTCCCTGCCCCGACCTGGCACAACGTGGTAAGTAGCGGATGATCCGCTGGAAGCGGTTGACCCGCACTTTTTTCAACGCCTTTTCTTTCAAAGCAGTGGCGCGCATAGAGGTGCAACGAGTTCACAGAAGAACGAGCTTCATCACGAGCGCAACGCGCGCCAGGCGAAGAAACCAAAAGCCGATGCCATCCGTAGCACTACCCACGTCATGGCAAAGTGCTCATACTGACGGCCATCCGTCGGCATGGCTGCGCTGAATATGGCACGCGTCGTGCCGACAGCTACGCGTAGCCGTCACCCCCTCAGCCGACGCGCAGCCGATTCTCGATCCACTGCTTGGCGGCCTTCTCGGACGTCTCCTTCGTGTAGCCTGTGTTCGGGCCCCATTTGAACACCTTGGTCGAGCCAGGGCCCCTCCCGTAGTGCGCGACGCACTGGCTGCGCGTGTTCTCCACGCTGATTTTGGTCACCACCGCCGCCTTGCCAACAGGTGCCGACGCTGGTTTCTTCAGCACGCATGTCTTGGCAGCGGGCTTCGCCTAGGCCTTCGCTTTGGCCTTGGTCTCCTTCTCCTGCTGCATGGCAGCGTGTACCTGCATGGCCGCTGCTTCCACAGAGTCCACCTTCTTCGCTTTCTTCGACTGCGGGGCCCCTCCTGCAGAGGCACCCGCCGAGTGGGCGTCCTCGAGGGCGAACTGACTGGGCTGAGGCTGCGGCGGCTGATGCTGCTGCTGCTGCTGCTGCTGTTGCAGCTGTTCCTGGAGCGGCTTGACCTGCAATTGCAGGTTGTAGTTGTCTTGCTGCTGCTGCTGCAACTGCTGCTGCTGCTGTTGCTGCGGGAGGTCCGTTACGCGAGCTCGCTTTCCCTATTGTTCGTCGTTTTCTCTGCCCTGCGGCCGACGGTCGCAGCCGCCTGATTTTTTTTTTTTGTTCTTTTTTATTTTTTTTTCTTTTCACTTTTTCCTTTTTATTTTCTGTTTTTTATTATTTTTCCTTTTTTTCTTTCGTTTTCTTTTTTTTTTTCTCGTTCTTTTTTGTTTATCTTTTTTTTTATTTTTTGCACGCCAGCGAGGCTGCGCGGCTGCTTCCCTGCGAACGTCAACACCGCACCGATCGCGAGCCTCTCTTGCTGAGGCTGCTGCAGCGTCTGACCCATCATATTCTGCAGAGCCTGCAAAAGTGGCGCCGACGACGCGGACCTGCCGCGCTGCCTCTCGCGCCACTTGGAAACGATTTAGCCACCACGGGAGACATCGAGAAGAAACTTCCGCCGCTCGCAGGACCACCCGCCGCCGTACGCAGAGTCCCACGTGGCGGGGAACGCAGCTCGGAAACGCGTCGGGGTCAGTGGGAGCGAGGCCATCTCTCCAAGGGCTCTGACCTTGACCATGCCATCCAACATAGTCTTGATGTGGTCGACGGGTCTTTCAAGAGTGGGGGGGCATTGCGGGGCCGCTGGGGCCCCATATACGCAGATCGTCACGAGGGCCGTCACGTGCGCGAGGGTGCCTTCTGACGGGTTCTTGAGGCCCAGCTTCGGCGAGAGAAACGACAGAACAGACCGAGCCTTGTGCAAGACGTCCCCATGGGGGTCGCTGAGCACGGCCCACACTTCACCACTCAAGAAATACGGGAAATGCTCGAAGTCCTGCGACTTCCACGCCCCGCCGCTGCTCGAGGCTGCCGTGGCCAAGGCGTTCTGCAACAGCTGTGCGTCGGCAGGCGCGAAGCCGTCTTGCTGCGCCAAACCCGCGAGACGAATGAGCAACTGGCCCTGCGGGCGCACCAATCCGACGAGCTCGACCAGCCGAGCAGCCTGTGCACCCGACGCCTGCTTCCACGCGGCTTCGCCCTGGTCCCTCGCAGCGCGCAGTAAGGGGCCCACCCCCTCGGCGCGCTGAAGGAGCTCCTGCTGGAGCGCCATTCTCGTGCAGGAGACGCGCCGCCGCCCCGCGGCAGCCCGAGCCAAAAGGGGCTGCGATAAAAGGCTGCGATGAAAGGCGGAAAAGGCTGCGGATGGGGGGGGAAGAGGGAGGAGGCGAGTGATCCGCCGACAGAAGATGGCGTAGAGCCGCCCGAGAACGCGGCTGATCCGCAAGATCGAAGGATGGGGGGGCGCGCGGTTGATCCGCGGAAGGGGTGGGGAGGGGAAATGCGGCTGATCCGCAGAATGAGAGCATGCGGATTAGGAGGAAAGAATGCGGTTGATCCGCCGCAGCATGCAAAGATAAGGAAGGCGGTGATCCGCCGAAGAGGGATGAGGAGGAGGATCAAGAAGGCGGTAATCCGCCGAAGAGGGAGGAGGAGGAGGAGGAGGAGGAAGGCGGTAACCCGCCGAAGAGGGACGAGGAGGAGGATCGAGAAGGCGGTAAGAGGGATGAGGAGGATCGAGAAGGCGGTAATCCGCCGAAGAGGGAGGATGAGGAGGAAGGCGGTAATCCGCCGAAGAAGGATGAGGAGGAGGATCAAGAAGGCGGTAATCCGCCGAAGAGGGAGGAGGAGGAGGAGGAGGAGGAGGAGGAGGAGGAGCAGGAACATATGGAGGAGGAGATTTTTTTGGCGTAACCTGACAAACGCTCAACGATCATCAAGCAAGCGCGCCCAGAAAACACGCACAACGCAGGCAAACCGCAGGTCCAACCAGCAGACGACGCCAACCAAAAAAACTGGCGCCCTTAAAAAAACAAACATCCGAACAAACACCTAGACTTATTCGACTTATTAAGTTGGCTAATAAGTGTATATATGTGTGTAGTTAAATCTCTGTTAGCTACATGTTATGTGGCATATTAGTATGTATGATGTTAACTATATGTACTCCAAGCTACAACAACTCTGCCGGCCATCCAAGCCGGGCCGGTTTCGGCGCCGGCCGGCGCCGGAAAATTGAATTCCAAGGCGGCGCAAAAATAAACAACTCGAAGACACATTTTTCTTTCAAAAATATTGATTTTCTGCTCCCGGCGCCCAGGAACCCTTCCGGGCCGATTCCAGCGCCCGAGCCGGCGCTCGAGCCGGACGCCCGGGTCGGCGCTCGGGCCGGCGCCCGGGCCGGTTCCGGCGCCGGCCGGCGCCGGAAAATTGAATTCCGAGGCAGCGCCGAAAAAATACCATTCCAAGACACATTTTTCTTTCAAAAATATTGATTTTCTGCTCTCGGCGCCCGGGAACCCTTCCGGGCCGATTCCGGCCGGCACTTGGGCCAGCGCTCGAGCCGCGCGCCTGGGCCGGCGCCCGAGCCGGTTCCGGCGCCGGCAAGCGCCGGAAAATTAAATTCCAAGGCGGCGCCAAAAAAGCCACTCCAAGACACATTTTTCTTTCGAAAATATTGATTTTCTGCTCCCGGCGCTCGGAACCCTTCCGAGCCGATTCCGGCACCCGACCGGCGCTCGAGCCGGACGCCCGGGCCGGCGCCCGGGCCGGCGCCCGGGCCAGCGCCCGGGCCGGTTCCGGCGCCGGCCGGCGCCAGAAAATTGAATTCCGAGACGGTGCCGAAAAATGGCCACTCCAAGACACATTTGTCTTTCAAAAATATTGATTTTCTGCTCCCGGCGCCCGGGAACCCTTCCGAGCGGATTCCGGCACCCGAGCCGACGCTCGAGCCGGACGCCCAAGTCGGCGCCCGGGCCGGCGCCCGGGCCGGTTTCGGCGCCGGCCGACGCCAGAAAATTGAATTCCGAGACGGTGCCGAAAAATGGCCACTCCAAGACACATTTTTCTATTAAAAATATTGATTTTCTGCTCCCGGCGCCCAGGAACCCTTCCGGGCCGATTCCGGCACCCGAGCCGGCGCTCGAGCCGGACGCCCGGGTCGGCGCGCCGGCGCCCGGGCCGGTTCCGGCGCCGGCTGGCGCCGGAAAATTGAATTCCGAGGCAGCGCCGAAAAAAGGCCACTCCAAGACACATTTTTCTTTCAAAAATATTGATTTTCTGCTCTCGGCGCCCGGGAACCCTTCGGGGGAGCGGCCCGGGATCTCAGAGCATCCGGCCGAGGGTTAAGGGTTATCTTTGTCTGAGCAGAGCACCGCCTAGGGCCGGCAGGCCTATGGTAGCAGTGAGCTCGACGTGCAGCTCGCTCTCACAAGCAGATCCTTACAGGCGTGGCGGTGCGCGCCCCCAGGTCCGCGCCTGCAGTTTAGGGTTTAGGGTTTAGGGTTTAGGGTTTAGGGTTTAGGGTTTAGGGTTTAGGGCCTGCATTGGCGCATGCGCGCGCTGGCTGCGATCCCCCCACATCAAGGTTGTTGGGGGGGGTCGCTGCCCAAGCCGCGCGCGCTATGAACTTGCACTCCCGCCCCAGACCACCCACAGTAAAGCCCTTTAGGGTTTAGGGTTTCTCCCCCCAACCCCCCCTATCAAGGGGGGCTTTCGTGTTGTGTGCGAATGCGAATATTCCGCGGGGAGCACGACGACGCGGTTTTGGCATTGCGTTATTGGTACGCGCGCAAAGCGCTTTGCGCAGGCGCAAGAGCCAGCGTCGTCGCATGGCCAACAATCTTTGCCGTGGGTTTAGCTGCATTCGGCTGGCTCCCAGTTGGCGCATGGCTTTGCCGAAGGACGGATTCTTCTCCTGCGGGTGTGCATTGCAATCAGAAGGCGCAGGAGAGGCCTCAAGGCCAGGCGTCGCCGCATGAGGTTTTGAGTTACGGCGTTGGCCTGTCGCAGACGCAGCATTGCCCCTGGTTCCAGCTGGCCTCCTGCATTGGCTATTGCCGTTGGCCTGGCTGCCCTTGCAGCCGCCGTCGTAGACGGCTGCCGCTGGCGCAGCACATCCACAGGGGTCCGCATGTGCTTCGGCGTTGGAAAGCAGCACTGCGAGGGCGCTGGCGCGGCAACCCATGGGCCCCCGATGGCCTCGAGCGAGTAGCCGCGCCGTCGGGCTCCTCGCTGACGGCGACGCGCACGGCAGTGTATTCGCCCGCGGCTTTGGGTTTTGCTTTGAGGTCGCCCCCGCAGAAGCGATTGCAATCATCGACGCAGACGCTGTCGACGCGGGCTTCGGAAGGCGGGAGGAGCAGCGCGAGGGGGTGGGTCTGGCACCCCCTCGATGCGATGCGCGCGCATGGCGGCGGCAGCACGTCCATGGCAGACCCCCTGGAATGCCTTGGGGGAGCTCTCTGGGAGCGCTGGGGGAGCGCCTCGACCTTTCCCCAGGATGGAGGCACGTGGGAGCGTCTGGGAGCGCGACAGGACTCGCAAAGTGCACCGCGAGCGCGAGCCGTGAATTGCCCGCTGGGCAAGACCGTTGGCGTCGCCCCTGCTGAAGAGCGATTGCATTGTCGACGCAGCCGCCTTCGGCGCGAATTTCGCATGGCTGGAAGAGGGAGCGCGAGGCGGTGTGTGTGGCACCCCCTCGCTACGATGCGCGTGCATGGCTGCTGCAGCACCTCCATGGCAGATCTTGGAATGCCTTGGGGGAGCTCTCTGGGAGCGCTGAGAGAGCGCCTCGAGGTTTCCCAGGATGGAAGCACGCGGGAGCGTC